TAGTATTCTAGGGAAGCTCAAGCTGATTCTAACCCAATCTGATGCATGAGATTAACTTAATCACTGATTGCTAATTTAGAAAGCCGATATGAAAACGATGAAGCAATGTGAGAAGGCTGATGGAGGGAGGGCACGTGTCCCCAAAGGACGAGACACGGAATTGTTAATTAAGGGCAGCCTTGAGAAAGCAAGCACAAATTAATTAATTAATGTTAATTAGTGTATGTAAAGCTTGTTTGGCGCATCATTGTAGTAACAGAGATCATTAATTAATAATGAATTTGTAGCCATACATGAGGGATTGAGATGAAAAAGTTGCCCGGAGAAGAATACTTTCGGTATGGGTCATCAAAAGAATGTGGATTGGTGGGTTTGTTGGCAGCGTAAAACGTGCATCTAGCGGACGGTAAGGACGGAAAAGTTTATACTAATAATAAAACATTAAAGTAACTAGTAAATTCGTGGCTTTAAATGGATGTTACTGGGTGCTTAATGGAGCATCTGGACTGGCCCCATGACCCCGTCCATGTTACTGTACGTTTGTGATTTAACAGGGACGTCGAAGCATATAGTTTCACCCCGATCCTGTGCTTGGCTCAGCGAAAACAAAAGTAGGAGGAGAAAAAAAGAACGAGAGGAGGGAAAGTGAACAAAAAAGAAAAGTATAAGGATATAATTTTCTCCTATCGTGTTTAATTGAACAAGAGTAAATGAGAAGAAAAAAAGGTTTTTAATTTTATATGAATAATAATATTTTTATTGTTTATAAAAATATGTATATACAATAAAATTTAATATTTTAACATATTATATATAATAACAATAATAATTCCTATCATGTATGATTGATTGAATAAAAATATAATTATAAATTATTTTATCCAATATTGACTAAAAATTATTTTATCAATTTATAATTTTATTTATTAAATTATTAAATATATAATAATATAAAAACTTTGAAATTACAACTAAATGTAAGAAACTTAACTGAAAATTTAGAATTAACATTTGTCTAATTAATTTAAAAATTAAATATACTTTTTATTTAACAAAAGTCCATGATAAAAACGTAATTACATTATAAATATAAAAAGTGAAAATCTCTTCACATTCAAGATTAAAAGTTGAAAGTAAAAATATATGGGTTTTACATGTTATTTCTTTATTTTTCTCTTTCCTTCACTTTTCTTTCTATCGCCAAGCATGAAAAAATGCTATTTTTTCTGTTTTTAAACTTTCACTTTTCTCTCATCGACACTTTTATCTCCTGCCAAGCATAGTATAAGGAATGACTAAATTGTTTATGAAAAGTGAATTAATGAGTGGTTTGAGCTTACTTACTCAATGAGCATTTCAATCACAATAATTAGATTTAATCAATAATTTAAAATTATTAATATTTTTTTTCAAAAATTTAAAACAATCCTCATGATAATAACACTCTTTATGCACATGGTCCTCTACAAAAAATTTGAGATTTTATAATTTTTGGGTATTATATAATAAAATTTCTAATAGTACTTAAATTAAATTGAATGCAAATAATCATGCTATGTGAGACACTTCTCATTGCGTGAGTGAGCTATCTATTAAGTGAATTCAAATCTTTAAAAGTTGTAGTTATCATTATTAAGGTGAGGTTAGAAGTGGTTAAGACTAACCAGAATAAGTTCAAAACAATTTTAAAATTGGCCTTGAGAATTTAGACATTTTTATTTTTTTCAAACTAAGCTCGAACCTGAATGAACTTAACTTAAATATTTTAATTATTTTTTATCATTAATAAAATAAGATAGAATTTGAAAATTCAATTTTTTAAAATAGAATTGAAATTATCAGAAAAAGAAATTTAGATATTCATATCTCCTGAAAAATCCGAAGAGCTTGGCTATGAGTTTTTTTGTTTGTTTGAGTATTTTAAGTTTGATCTAAACAAGTCCAGCATGAATGAACCCCTACCCTCCCTGGCGGCTACAGGTAGTAATGCCTACTAACATTTTCATATGAGGATGCACTGTACACTTACATGGAGGGATCTAAAATCTAATATTGCCATGTTGCTGGGTAGCCCGGTCCCAGCTCAATTGCTCCTACACACAGGCGTGCATGCCTGTGCTCACAGGACTGGAGCAGGATACGGAATCTGATACAATGAGAGTGAGTCCTTTTAATTCACGAGTCTACGATTTTCACGTATCGTCGTCTGAATTAACTCTAGTCTCTCTCATCAATTGCTTGCTTGTTAAAAATGGCCAAGACTGAAGAAATATAAATAAAGGCGACTCCCTGGATTCCACCATAGATCAAGAGCATGTTTAATTTAATTATAGTTTTGACAGTTTATAATGTAAAACCAGAACCTGCTCGTGCTTTTCTTGCTACATGTACTGGTCTTCATCTGCTGTTTTACCATGCCAAAAAGCCAGCCTTTTCTTATTTGTCATCTCCCTTTTTGTCGTCCTATCAGGTTAGATTTCTTCAGCATTCCAAAAAATTTAAAACCCACCAAAATACAGATTATTTAATTTATTCTTTTAATTAAACTTGTAACCTAACCCATGCTTTTGCTGTGAGAAGATTCGCTTGTTCCTATTTTAGTAGTGTTTTCACATGGTTACCTTTTTGCAATGCACGCTCTTTTTTGGGCCTTTCATTTTGCAACGCGTGCTGTAATTTCTATTGTTCTTGTTTAAGTCCAAGATATAGGATGCTTAAACACACCTCAAAACCCGCTGTTTTATTCCACCTCACACTTTTCACCCCTCTTCTTCACTTTTCCACGCCTAATTTCTCATAATTTTTTTGTTGCTAAGTTTGTGGCCGTGCAGATCTTGTGCTTCACAGTGGAGACCTCGCTCTCTAATGGCAACTACAATTTAAATTTACAGTGTTTGTGTGTCGTAATTATTTTAGGCTTAACGTTACTCTACTCGAACTTATATGTATTAACAAAAGACAGATCATACTCGTTCTGTATTTTTGCGTGTCACATGCATGAATTTTACTCAACTTTCCTTTTTTAACATGTCTAATTGCGAGTCACAATTAGACATATTAAAAGCCCCCCCCCCCCCCCCCCCCCCGGGCGGTATACGAGTGACTCCGGGGTTGTAATGTAACCATCAGTTAACACACATTGAGAGAGAAGAAAAGCTGATGTAAGAAACACAGACTGGAAATGATCAACTCGCCATTGAAAAGGTGACTAGTTTTGTGGCTAATCACAACCATCAGAGAGGCCAGGTTAAACTCGCTTCTTTTCTCTCACTCTCTCCATTGTCGTGATGGACACAACCACGAGCGTGTATCAATTGTCCGTGTTCAATAAAATTGCCACACCTTACTTGTTTTAAGTCGCTGTTATATATTGAATGACCACTGATTATAAAATAAACAATTGCTAGTCACTAATATATTTTCATTCACTCTTGTATTTAACCCATCTCTTGCGCCCGGCGAGAGGAGCGCATTCTACAGGGAAGATGGCGGTTCAGTAGTCGTACCTTTTGAAGGTTCATTGTGGACTGATTTTGGAATTTACTGTTCAGCTCTTGACTGTTTATTTCTTCAAATTAAGAATAACCACGTACAAACAAAGTGGTCGCCCCATTAAACCTGGGAAAACACCGTTAAGGGGACTTATTGGTTGTTACACTACAAGATTATATTCAAGAGATCAGTAACGTTCAGATCAAGTACTCTCCTCTTATTGAAGCTTCTGACAATGCAGAACGAGTACGGTTATTTATCTCAGATACGTGCTTTGATGTGAAGGTGATGATTGTTTTAGATTGCCCAGTATAGAGTGTGCGCTTTAAAGGGAAGGACTTTTGTGCGCCCATACAGAGAGGGCAAACAAAGACTGAAGAAAATATTGTTTCTCGGCATATATTAGACAAATGAACGTTCCAATGCGCTGGTTTCTATTGAGGCTGCACAGTTGGAATCCTATGAGCATGGTACAATCTCTGCATTGAGATTCAAAAGCAAATGAAAAATATATCCGAATATCTGCTCCATTACGAGCTTTGTAGAACTAACAAACAGTTGATTTGTCATAACCCTTTCAAGTTATTGCGTATCCAGATTGACGAGAGAATCCACAGCACTATGATTGCGACTTCATCCATTTCTGCTTCTTTCCCTAGCTCCATTGCTTCCTATCCATACATGTTCATCCCCCTGCTCTAATCCAGTCGCATAAATGCTTGTCTTTCTAACTTATGAACTGTGCCCATTTGGTCGGGACATGTTATATATTCATCAAAAGGGAAGCCGTCGTAATTAATAAATTATTCCTTACTCAGTAATGAGTCTCTGCACTTTTAATGGGTGAAGTTTGAGGTGGCAGAATTTTTTTTTTTTGCCCGTAAATAATAAATTAGGCTTGAGAAGAGGCTACAAATTTATAAATCTAATCTAATGTCTTAAAAGTTAAATATCTGTGTTCGCATTTAAAGTCGATTCGGCTTAGACTTCGAATTATTCAGTAGATGATTTATTATCGAGTATCCGAAAAATAATGCACAATAGTCTAAAATTTAAGGTCATTGTGTTATTTACCTTATTTATTGAAAATTCGAGACAATTTTGCCATCGTGACCTGTAAAAGTAACCTTAATAACCCGCGAAGGACAGTGTTAGAGATGGCTAATTTCTCTCTGACTAGAGGGCATCCTTACCCCTTGACGATAAAACAACACCAGAATCAAAAATTACCTGTGGAGAACCAAACCAAACATGGACTATGAGTTATGGTGTATTAGCGGTGAAGAATGCGATCTAAAAATTCTGCACTGTGTCTGAACATCTAACAACAGCAAGCGGGAGGGTAAGCACAATGAAACGAACTTTCGCGCAATAATGCATAAGTAAAATATGCATGTTTAGTGAGCACTTATCTTTTAAATCTCCCATTTAATGTAATCTATTGAATTGCGAACATTGAAAATTTTCATTTTGGGGGGGGGGGGTGGATAGAAGTTAGTTAACTCGGGGAGGGTTGAGCAACTCGGGGGCTGAAGCACCGAGGTTCCAGCTTCCAACTTTCAAGGTAGAAAGAATTCTCATGTCGTGGCTGCTGAAGAGACATCCTTTCATAGTGCAATGCCTTAAAAACTTGGATTTTTCATGAGCTCACCGTTTACTACACCTCATCCGCTCATCGTCCCCTAAACGTGGGACTCAAATAGAAGTGCACTGGTCTCCACACAGAGGCGGCAAATCACAAGTTGCCACGCCTCTACGATTTCATACGGCCAATCTCATTCGAACACAGCCACTTCTCTCTTCCTTCTCATTATTCATCTTTCGAGGATCTGCAATTCTCACTACTTTTTCCTGTTCCCTCAATTCGCATTGCTCTCTTCCTTTCTCTCTTTAGCCATGGCGGACTCAATTCAGTCGCCTACATCTTCTTCATTGCCGTCTGCATCCAGAGACACCAGCACTCTCATTCGTCCAAGGCGCGAGCCCTTCGAGCATGGCCTCTTACCCCTGCCAAAGCTCATATTCTCCGATCCTACGCAAACCCTAATCCCCTTGAAGCAGAAGCTCCTTGAGTTATCCTCTAATCAAAGGGTCAATTCAGCGGCCATTTCCGAGGCTTTACAGATCTCCCCTGAACATGCAAGACTCGTTCTTGATACTCTCGCCTCGGTTCTACACCACGAGTCCGAACCTCTAGCTACGGCCAAGCCGGAAGAAATTGACTCCTTTGGTGCTGATGTCTATGATCTGGTTTTGTTCTTGTACATTCAATCTTACAAGAAGCTCCTGCCTAGGACGCACAAGGACTCTGCCGCCGTGGCTGACGTTTGGCCCTCCACTTCGGCCTTTGATGGTTATCTCTCTGCTCTCTCGCCCTTGCAGGTGAAATGGCCTTTTATTTAAATGACTGTAATGTAATGCCGGTGAGACAATTTGTGGATATTGAAGATCACAGGGACTAAATTGTGGACAGACAGAGTGATTTTTAAAATATTCTTTTTGCAATGCCAATTAGTCCTTATGATTGTATCGGTTGTTGAGGGATTAGGCTTAATCACTTCCCGTATCATCCATAAACAATCAAATCGAGTCTTGTCTCTGAACGTTAGAGTCCTGGCTGAGATATTTAATTATGCCTTAGGAGTAAATTTGACTTTTTTATGGTCAATTAAATTGGATTGGGGGCTAAATTTGATTGTTCCAATTGTCTTTTTAGTCTTTAAGTACATTTTGGCGCTTGCATGAAAAAGACTGTGCAATATAACTGTGGGAGTCGGGATGCATGACCTTCTGTGCTTTGCAGCTAGTTCTTTTCTTTCTTATAATCAATTTGGCATTTTCAAACTGATGCCAAATTTTGACCTGAGCTCTTGCCGTGTTGGTCAAACTTGTATCTGGACTAGTCTGAAATGTTCAATATTACCCGTGTTTCTCTTGTCTATGATCTTGGATTTTTATGCTTTGGCCACTGTTGAACCCTTCGATTAAAATATATTCTGGCTGTCATTATTTTACCGTCTCCTTTGTTATAGTTATATTCTATACCATATCAGGCTTTTCACTAATGCTTTTAAGTAATTCTTGAGATCACGTTCTTCATTTTTCAATATTTTGCAGCTAGTGCGCAGCAACAGTCGGCGGTTTATGCCATCACAGGCTGATGAGGAGGCTCATCAATTATCATATTTGCAAAAGCACATGGCTAACATTCTATCTCTTCTATCAGAGCCTGTGGTGGGGGATGACGAAGAATCTTTGGTTTGTGAATTTACTGCGTGCTTTGCTATTCATGGTTTACTGATTTCCATTGAGATTATGTGCTATATAACTAATACCATTCACATTATGGATTTTTCTTCTTTAGACTACGTCCTGGTGATTTATATGTTTTTTCACGCCATCCTAAATTATGGAAAGATCTTCAGTTTCAGGCATTGGATAGCATGATTATATGCTTCTTGTGCATGTACTTAAACTTTATCTGTGGCTATATGATGTCAGTTTTTGTCTGTCACCTGAAGCATAAATTGGTTACCATTTTCATTCCGTTGTCTTGTTGTTCTTGTCATATATCTGGTGCTTTATGCATGTCTTATTACTAGTATTCCTGAATCTTTGTAAATATCAGAATAACTTGACTCTTTAGTGCGCCTCCTTCTCTAGTTTTATTTTAAGGGTTTAATGGGCTTTTTTATCTGTAAGAATAATCCCATGCTGGTGGTATAACTTGGTCAAATTTTTTGTGAGCAATCTATAATAACAATTGTGCCATTAAACGGGTGAAGGTATTATGAAATAGTTTGTTTTGGTTTTGATCATGAACTATTTTGCCACGTTTGTAAATTTCAAGGCAGTTACACTGCTTTCAAAACTTTACTGAAAGTTTTCCAATGGTTCCCTTGATGGCAAGAAAATGTTTCGAGATAGTTCTTAATGCGTATTATATTTCATTTATTAAAGCTGATATCATGCTGAGAATTCAGCTTAGCTTCTATCTTTAAGGTTCATACTGGAGTTGTCACTGACGTACTGTTAAGAATGAGTCTGAAGGGTGTGATTTTCTGAATCAGTGTGGGTCTAGTGGGTAAATCATATGCCGAGTGATAGTGTGTGTTAATCATCATCAAATGAAGTGTGTTGACATAGATGCCTGACAAGTGCTACACATAAATGGTTGCTGTCACTGGGATCCATTTAGTTTTCCTCCTTCCTACTGAATCCTTAAATTTTCATGGCTTTTGTCCCTATTTCATTTACTTGACCTTGTTTCAGGTCTTAACTATGGATAGATTTGAGCACCTTGGCTTTCTTATTCAGTTTGGTGATAAGGGATTTGATGGAAATTCATTGAGTCAAGCATCTCCTTTCTTCGCGAACTCTGATCCTGACATGCCTGCTGTTCCTGTTCCTGCTGCGCAAGTTCATGATTGGCTTGCTCAAAGCATAGCTTCTGCTTTGGAGCATATCTCTGAACCGGTTTCTTCAAAGGAAAATGGGCCAGGCAATGCGTCTGATCAAGACATTGTTATGGTGGAGGCATGCACTAACTCAGTTAATGTCCCGGCAAGCACTAGAAGCCCATATTTCATTGAAGGGATCTCTAAATCTTCATATGTGAAGCTTTCGTCTGACATCAAAGGTTCCTCTGTTAAGGTTAGTTTCTTGCACCTGCCCTGTTCTTCTGTTTTCGTACACCTGTGTTCTTTCTACAAAACATGTCATTATAGATTTATGTTTGACCAAACAACAGATGTTAGCTACAGAACTTCATCTCTAATGATAATTGTGGATATTGGCCATTGGCTTGCTATAATAAAACATTATGTCTGATCGATGCAGGTTCTAAACTGTCATGAGTCTACCATCTACATCTTAGCACCCCTGAGATATGCTACTGTCTATGGATGTTCTGATGCTACTATAGTTCTAGGAGCAGTTGGCAAGGTAATTACTAACTCTGAGTTCTGCTTTTACAAGGCGCTCAGTAGATCTGCATAAACTAGAATGTGTATGAAATTTGTTTACAACATTTTTTCATCTGAATGGTAAGCTGAGATATAAAGATGATACTGATGATATCTGCAGTTTCCTTCAAGTCCAAGTAGAAGAAAATTTCTTAGGTTATTGGACTTTAAACTTCTAGTAGTTAAGGGGAATATAACAATCATTTTCACATTAGAAACTGTCTTATGCAGTGCGGACCACTTCAATGTGCATTTGTAATTTTTTTTTTCCTTCCATGAATTCATGCACCACGTGTTGGTTGATGATAATATTGATATGTGATGAAGTCAATATGCTTTAACTATTACTGATCTTCTGTAAATCTGCTCAATGCTTGCAAAGTTGCAATCCTTTCATTCTTGTATCACAAAGTTTTAAATGTTAGTACCTTCTGGAGCTGGAGATGATCTCATAACTTGTAATCATCACATCATTGTCATCTTGAACTGGAATTGTTTGTCATTGTTCAGAATATCAATGATTTCTTGCCTTTTGCCATCAATTCAAAAAAGCCTGAGACCTGTTCTTCACGTTCAAACGAAATCTTCAAAGTCTTCCCAACTGGCAGGATTGCCCTTTTAGTTTGAGTTACTCCTTATTAAGCTTGTTTTGGTGGTAAGTGATGACTTCAGAATCAGTTTTTGGGTTCTGAAACTTCACTACGTCTCCTTGCGCCCACATCCATGCAATTATAAAAGTGTCTGCATGTTTGAATTGAAGCGAAAATGGTTTTAGTGACTATTATTGTCCACTATCATTGTGGGGCCTAGCTAACTCATGCCCTACAAGCATGATCGAGGAATAATATATGGCTTTATTTTCAACAACAGAAGATGCAATTTTCAGAGAACATAACAAATCATTGCAAAAGGAAGCATTAGATAATCATATAAATTTTTTTAAACCAATGCTTTAATTACACAATCAATGCATCAAGTGTCTTCTTAACCATTGCCCTTGGAGCGTTCCTTTATCTTGATCAAGAGAACGGAAGCATGGATTTAGCTTCAACTGAAAAATGCTTGATCTTGAAAAGGAAAGATGGTCAGCGAAAGCCATGACTATATGCATAGCAGTTAATTGCTAAAATGGTTATCTATATTTTAAAGTTTTCTAACTTTCAAGTGTTGTATTTCTGGGCCTCCCTGACAGTTAGATTCTTTCAAGCCTGTTAGCCTTCATTCTTTTCCTTCCCATAAACAGTCCTCTTCCCTCCTTCAAGCCTGCTAGAAATGATACTGTTTGATATCATATAAACTGTGGTTTTTGTTATTCGCATCACTTAATAGTCACCTGCTAGTTTCTATTTTCTTGTTATTAAAAAAATGTAAAAATGTCAATGAATGAGATGGCTATCATTGCGTGAATTTTTATCTTTCTCTTCCCCATCCTTCTTTCTGCTCCTTTTTTTCCTAAATAACATTTCTGCAGTATACGGTATGTGTAGTACTGGCTGTTTAGTTGACTGTTATTATGATTTAAGACATAATAACTGATGCTTTAAAACATAATAACTGTTATTAGAATACTTCTTTAGCCCTTTCCCTAGTGCACTTTTATGCCTTAAGTTTGGGGGTATATAACTGATGCTCTGCTTGTTGAATGTTAAATTAGTGGCTTCTTCGATTGATGTGATGGAAGTTAATGTCCTTTTCTTTCCTCTGACAGGCTGTAAGAGTTGAACACTGTGAACGAGTTCATGTAATTGTGGCAGCAAAACATATTTGTATTGCTAACTGCCGTGAGTGTGTTTTCTTTCTGGGAGTGAACCAGCAACCTCTCATTGTTGGTGATAACCATAAACTGCAGGTGAACTTACTCGTTTCCTGTCGCAAGATTTATGGACTTGCTAGCCAGTTGACACTAATGTAGCTGTCTGTCTAGTTTCTGATTACACTAATTGTTTTTAGCCTCCAATACAATGCCCCTACATATCCAAATTAATGATTTGAGATATATCCTTTTTGGTTTAATTGATTTAACCTAGCAGAAGTGGTAATATTGCATATTTGGGTAATAAAAATTATAATGAGAGCATTTTATTTGTTTAGCTTCCTATAATGAATGGAAAATCAGAAAAAGGTTTGTGCCCATATTGGATGTGACATGACTCTTTAAATTACATGTTAATACTCTATGCTTTTTTTTTTTGGGCTTTCACCGCGTTTTTCCTGTTGGTAGTTTCTAGAGTATGTGATGGATGTGGGATTTTGCTCTTTTTATGATTTAGGGGCTTAGTTATTGGCTATGGTGGACCCTGATGTTCATAGTTTTGCCTTGGTTTTATCAGATGTTAGGAATAGATGGGATAAGTGTTTAGGCATGAACGATGTCCAAAGTATGTTCAAATTGTGTTATTTACATCAATGGAAGATTACTGGAAATGCCATCTATTCATAATATAAAACCATTTGAAATACATCCAGGCTGAATAACCCTGATGGGTATATGGTCAAATATGGGGCGAGTAACAGTTGGGAGTGGTTGCTAATATTTGAGCCTCGCTGGTTTTAAACTGGGGGTTCCTCAACTGTTTTATGATTTATGTGTTTGCCAGCAAATCAACAATTTTTGTGTAAATGTTTTTGTAATGAAATGGGGTTAGTGAAGGGACAAATGGATCTGATTGCGCATTTGGCCTAAAGAAGTTGCCAACATTTCTGAAACGCTGGACCAATCATTTATCAAATTAGTTGCACCATAAAGTCTCTTTAAATATATTAAAAATTCAAAATTCTGTGTATATAGAACTTATGTGGTTTCTAGGGATATGACATGTGCACGAGCCTTTAAGCTAACAACTGCTAACTTTTTGATAGTGCTTCCCATTTGGTTTTATGTCTTTGGGTCAGGGCACATCATTGATGATTACCTTTATTTAAGTGATAGTGGGGATTGATTAAGTATGGGAAGGTAAAGAAAGCTAACTCTCATGATTAAGATTGAGTGATGAAATATATAAAATTATTTTTATGTTCATTAACCTAATGATAGAACACTCTTGGAAGTTGTTGAACGTGATCTCTTAATTAATAATATTTCTAAAAGCTTAATAAATGATAGAGCACAATGGCGTCTTGCAATCCATGTAGCCGACCCCACCTAGTGGGATAAAGGCTTGTTGTTGTTGTTGTTGTTGTTGTATTAACCTAATGATAGTTTTATTCACCAACGGTTTTATGACTACAAATATGGGTCTTTGTTCTTCTGGTCGCTTGTCAATGTCTATTTTTTCTGTTCATGTTTCTGCTTTTGGTGTTGCTAGCTTTTGATAATGAACGTGTATTTTTATCTAAGATCCTCACTCTTCCAACTGGGTTTATCATTTGAAATTTTTTTTATCATTTTTTGTGTTATTAGGTGGCACCATATAATACATTTTACTCCCAGCTGGAGGAGCACATGACTGAAGTTGGGATTGTACCCACAGTAAACAGATGGGACGAACCTCTAGCATTGGGCATGGTCGATCCTCATGATTCATTATCTCATCCGGCGGGTGTCTCTGATGTCCAAGCTGAGTCTGCTGTACGGGTGGATCCTGATCAATTCACAAATTTTATGGTACGACTTTAACCTGACTTACAGGACTATGTAAGATTTTTATTTTAGGTTAAATTAGCCTTTAAGTTTTTGTATTTTTTGCTCAGGTTTTAAAAATTTTAATTTAATCCCTCAAAGCAAAGATGAGTCAAGTCACAGTTTATTTTATCCTTCTTAGCTGCCCATCTCTCTCCATGCCACGTAACAAACACAACCTTTAAATTAAAATAGATCAGGTTATTTGCATAGATTGTCTAGTTCATTAGAAGCTGAGAGAGCATCCATCATGCAATGCTGTTTTTAAACAAATAAAATGGAACATTCTTCTATGCAATGGATGCTAGGTGCTATTGTTGCCATTTCGATGACTCTATCTGTATGGAAACATGTGAAGACCAAATTGAAGTGTTTAGTGCAAGAAGTAAAGGAAAAATTATGATATGCTTCATATTTTCCCCCATGTATGATTTCACTTGTCTAACCTTAAAGTAGCGCCTTGTTATTTCCTTTTTAATGTTTTTTTCTTTTTATCCTCTTTTTCATAACCGTGTTTGTTTGCTGCTATTCACATACTTTTCCTCCCCATTGTTTGGCGTGCAGATCCCGAACTGGCTTGGGGGCGAACATACTGGATCTACAAACGACAATCCATTCAAACTACCAGAGGCCTACATTGCATCACAGCATAGAAATGTATGTCAACGGGGCTATTTGGAATTTCTTGGTGGTTGGATTTCCAAATTTGTAGTGTTCAAACTCAAAAATAAATAAATAAAATAAAAAAATAAGTAGGGCCTGCATTTCAGTGAATGATTTGATTTCAACTAAATAAATAGCGAGTTGATTAAAATCATATCTTCGTTTCAGCAAAAGAATTTGGAGGAGATAAAACAACTCTTGCGGGAAGCGCCCTTGGAAGAAAGTCGAAAACGGGAATTGTCATCTGCACTTCATGTATACTTCAAGGACTGGTTATACGGTAATGATTACACCTGCTTATTTAGTTTAATTCAAAGCATGTCTAGCTTTTGCATCGACAAGGAAAAATCCCGTGTTTTCTTATTGGAACGATACGGTTGATAAATGCCTTCCAAACCTGGACCTTTTTGATGCCAAACTGGCTGGTTGAGGATGATTCCTTCATTTAGTAATCTTGTTCTTGGCCCTTTATTCTGAGTCAAGCTGATTGTTTGAGGTAGATTCTTTTATTTAATTATATTGCATTTGTTCCTTTTATTCTGTGACTATGCTTCAGAAAATAGCTCAATTTCAACTGCCATAATTTGTATGTTTGTTCTTTGAGGTCTTGGTCCTAGTAAACTCTTAGGTTTTCTGATTTGTATAGTCTCCTTTGCCTGGATAATCACTGGCTTTTTAGTTTATGACTATAAATTTTTCCTCCTGTCGTGGCGGCAGCTTCAGGAAACATTCGTCAACTTTACTGTCTACAAGGTGATTGATGTTTGTCTGACATTGTTACGGCAGAGGCAGAGTTATTGAGGGAACAGGACAGTACGAAGGTTTCCGGTATTCTTTTTGAACTTCCTCCGGCCAATTCTATTGGCTCCGCAGCTAGCTGAAATCAGATGAATTGAATTAATGCTCACTTACTTATGTGGTGACATCGCCAGTGCACAGAATGGAATTTAAATTACAGTTGCTAATCTGAGTTGTATTTTTTTTTTTTGCTAGTGAAAATAATTACTGTAATATTTTGTCAGCCTAAATTAAGTGGCCTCGTTTAAAATTTCATTGCCTACAGTGCCAACGTCCACTGTACTGATTCGTTTTTTTTTTTAACCTTTGACTTCTATTGAAGTCAACTTCACAGGAATTTCTTGTGACCCCCTTATCCCCCACCAAAAAATAAATAAATTATGTCAGTTCATTGAAAATACCAAGTTGATCTGCGTCATATCTTAATATGATGTTAGTCTAGTGTATGTGCATTGTTCAAAATTTAACAAATGAATCATTATTTATATAATAATATATAAGAAAAATTGCTCATAAGTCGAAGGAACGAGATTCTTTAGAAGAATAAAGATTGATAGATTATCAAAAATGCTCGAACAGTGTTGATCTTACACGCAGCTCCTCTTTCTCTGCCGTCGTCCTCGTGACCTCTTCCTTTGCCATTGCCTGTGACCTTACGCATGACTGTTCATTTCAAGCTGCATCTTATTCTTCCTTGCTTTCTTCTTTTTCTAGATTCTTCTTGCAACCCTACCCTTAAATCCTTCTCAGTCTTCCCTTTTCTTCTCAGTTCATCCTTGAGAGATGATACTGGTGGGGAAGTTATCATCTTTGTTGTTTCCCTCAATGAATGCAGAATGATAAGAGGTCTTGGGTTGAGGAAGACTAATGAGATTGGTGCCACCGCCACCAAGTTAACATAGTGGCCGTTTTGTACCATCTGATTTGGTCTTTGTTTGCTGACCTACCTTTTTTTTTTTGTTGAGTTTTCAATTCTTGTTTTCTGAATTGTATTATTCACATTGATTGAATTTTGGTAGCTGTTGATTTTCTTCGACGAGCTTAAGATGGGAAGTATGATGCTATCATTGTTGATTCTTCAGATCCTGTGGGTATGACAACTTATTGCATATTGATTTATTTAAATTCAGTGAGAAATGTGCTTTGCTTTATTTTGATACTTAAACCTGATATAAACTCACAAATCACAAATAAACCTTTGGATATGTATTGTAGGCCAGTGTTGGAGCTTGAACTCTGCTCTTCATTTGGAAGGATGTTTGATTGGATAAGGTTGACTTGAACATGAAAGTTCCCTACAGTCCAATCTTATTTTCATTATGAAAGTATACATGCATTTGGGTCATCTTTCACGAACTCTTTTAAGAGGAAATTCCATTTTCAGCTTGCTTTGTTTTGTTGCTAAATTTTTGAGTTGCTAAATTGTCAAACCCGTCGACTTTGTTTTGATTATTGAAACCAGTAAACTGTTATCATTGTTTTGTATTTTTTATGAACAGAAGTTCACAACACTTGTAATTTAGGTCCGGCTCAGGAACTAGTAGAGAAGCTATTTTTTGAGATAATAGCCAAGGCATTAAGGCTTGTCAGAGTTCTTCGTAATATGGTTCAAAGTATGTGGATTCATACACACCTTATTCAAGATATGATCTCCATTTGCCAAAACACATTCAAAGGCTATGTACATGATCCACGGGCAATTGTTCCAACGTACCCAGGGCAATCACATTTTTCAAATTGTTGATAGGCTGGTATTTTTTATTACCTTCACACACTTTTCTTGTCATGTTTGGCCACGTCACTCTAATTTTCTTGGGCTATGTGTTACTCTTGTGATGATTTTAGGGTTCTTCTAGTTGATATCGAGGTAGTGGTGGATAAAGAGAATTGAATTTTATTGCTACCCTTGTTAAGTTTTTTGGTTAAAAGAACATGTGTTATCTCGAAAGCGGGCATTTTGGTACTGTTATAGTTACAAAAACCTTGAGCTCCTTTGTTTTATTATCTTTTATAATCTAACAACTATTGTGTTGATTTTAAGTTGTGGTCAAGAAAGCATTTTTGCATCTCTTCAACATATTATTTGAGAAACAAGAAAGGAAGGTTGAACATATGAAATGGAGCATTTATGATAAAGCTAAGTCTACATTAACAATTGGTTGAAGGAGCTTGAATTGGAATACTTGCAATCTATTGTCAAATGCTAATAAATATATATATATATATATATATATATAGAAAATTGGTGTAATTTATGAATGTTATGTTGAAGTATTGAACAAAACATATAAAAGTAACAAGGGATGTAATATCTTGTAATGCAATATAGTTTATACTGTCAAGGAATGTAAAAACATGTTATTATTTAATGATAAATGAATTGATTGATATTCAATTGTTTTTCATGCTTTAAGTTAGTGTGATTAAAGTTTATATATAACAATGCAATAGTGACAATTGAAAATATTCATTAGTGTTTTAGAATATTTATCAGTGTTTTTGTGAAAAATGATAAAATTTTTAAAATATTCATTTGTGTTTTCAAAACATTCTTTATTGATTTTATGAAAAATGAAAAAAATTTCAAAATATCCATTTACATTTTATGAAAATCAAAGAAACAAGGACTATAATTTCTTTTTGTCTATATTTTTTCAAAATATCCATTGATACTTTTATAAAAATTGAGAAAATTTTTAAGATATCTATTTTTTTAATGAAAATTGAGAAATTTTTTAAGATATTCATTTGTATTTTTATGAAAAGTAAAGAAACCAAGGCTATGATTCATTTTCATTTATATGCAATAAGTTTCTATGTTATGCAAGACTTTTTAACATATGCAAATTTCTTTTATGATATACAAACAATCTTCTGCATATGCAATATTATTCGGTAGATGTGAATTTCTTCTACGATATGAATTGTTTCTTCTGTTATATACAACCACTCTCCCAAATATATAACACTTTCCCATCACATGCAACACTCCCTCATATATGCATATTTCTTCCATAATATACAACGTTTCTACCATTATATGTAACATTTTTTTATAAATGCAGATTTCTTCCATGATATGTAATACTCTCCCATGACATGCAATACTTTTATGCATATGCAGATTTCTTTCACATTATATAATGTTTCTCTTGTCATATGCAAGGCTCTTCTCTTATATGCAAAAAATTTCCGTAGGCACACGTTAGTTGCAAATATATTGACGCTAAAGGATCTTATGTGACATATTAACATTGAAAGATCTTATGTAATATATTGACACTAAATGATCTTGTGCTTTAGTGCTCAATAAAGTGTCACCAAAGGATCTTATGTGACATATTAATATCGAATGTCCTTGCTTATTAATATCGAATGTCCTTACTCAACTTTCTCTATGTTTTTTCTTACCACTAAGGGCATTTAAGTCATTTACCCCCTGAAGTTATTGACAGCCAAAGACCTAATGTCCTGAGTTCTTTTCAGCAAAAAATATATTGGTCCAGTCTTTTTAAGCAATTTTTTCAAATATATATAATCCTAGGACGTTTAAGCAACTTTTTGTTGATGACTACGAGCAATGATGTAGGTCAAAATTGCAATTTCCCCTAGCCTGAATAAAATTGCAAGGTTGACTACTAAAGATTAGTACAAATTAACACAACACTGATTTTAACTTATAATTGAATGCATCATTATGATAATTATTTGGGGAAACGAGGTAGGACCCTTTGTGCGACATGAGTAATCCTTAAGGAAGGCATAAATAAATATTAATGATCCTCATTTTGGAAATATTGAAACTACAATTTGAGGAAAAATGCCCCGTCAACCACATGATTATCCTTAAACAAAGGAGGGTTGGTTCAATATTAACCTCAACAATCCTCCTCTATTTGTAACATTCCAATTTAAATTTTAATAGTTAATTTGGGTTAATAAAAATTTAAAAAAAAATATTTAGAGGTAAGCAAATTAGTAGGAGATGATTATTAAATCTAACTTAGGATATAATTTTAAAATAAAAAAATATAATTAATTAATTAAAAAAATTAATTAAATTATTATTATTATTATTAAAAAAATAAGAAAAGATATGAGAAAGTGGAAGGAAAGAAAGAAAAAAAAAGAGACCAGCTTTCGGTGCGTCCGCATGCAATGATCATACATATAAAATAATAATAATAAAAAAAAGAGGAGGAGGAATGGAGCTTTCGGCGTAAGTGCGATGTACATAGATATATAAAAAGAAGGAAAGGAAAGCAAAAAGAAAATGTGGGACCCACATGTTTTTTAAAAAAAAACAACAAATGTCCTCTTCCCTTTCATTTTCCTTCTCTTCTCACTTCTCTTCCGCGCACAAACAGAGCAAGCGACTGTGAGCAAATTCATCGACGCAGCGTGTTTAAGTTTTAAAGGTGAGACTTCCTAATAGGATAATTAGGGTGAGATTTTAAGCTTTTCAAGATTAAATAAGTGTTTTGAAAATTTTTCTTATTCATCTAGCTCCTTTAGTTTCTGATTTTGTGATGGTGAAAAATTTAAGATTTGAAAGAGGGATGAATTTATGTTGAATAAATATAGTTTTGAGGTTGTTAGTAGTATAATAAATATTCTAGAGTATAAATTTGTTGATAATCTTTGAATTTATGGCTTATGAATCAAATCATAAACTATATTTTTTATCTGAAAATATATGTTGATTTATTGAGGTTTAGATGATTATTTGGAATGAGAAATGAATTATTATGGTTATAGAATTATGATTCTAAGCTAGAGACTCAATTTTTAATTTTTGAATATTTATGTGCGAATTTATGAAATAAAAAAAAATTGATAATAGAAATTAGTTTAGAAGTTGATTTTTAGATTATTAATGTTTATTGATAATTAAAAGAGGAGTTAAAAATTTTAATTAATAGTATTAACTTTAGATTTGTATTAAGATTGAGATTAGGAATTATGTTATATTTTTAATTCTATTATTAGAATTATTTTATTAGTTTCAAAAATTAAAATTAATATTTATAAATAATATGTTATTTGTAGATTGTATTATTGGTGAAGATTGTGATGGGAGAGAAATTGTAAGGAATAATTTATTGAAAAAGTCACAAGGTAACCATGCTTTTAATTTGTGATTAGTGTTATTTCATGTTAATTGGGTGATTATTGAGAAAATTATAAACTTTGTAATATTATATAATTGTGCAATATTATTATGAATTTGTTTAATTATTGTGGGAGGTGTTGGGAGACTTGCTATTATTGTTGTATTTTATGTGCCACATGGTACGCCCCTATTGGAGCTCAATAGGTGGCTTGTAAGGGTTCAGGCTAATCTACCTTTGGTCGGGTAATTTAGTACTGAGTGAGGGCTACGACTCGAGGTTAATGGAGGGATATAAGGATGGTTATTTGTGTGTATTGTAATATTTTTTATATTTGTTGGAATTATATTATTTTTAATTCTCACTTAATAAGCACACACTTAACTGTTTGTATATACTATCATAAATTAGCTTTGGTTACTAGGACTTTTAAGTCTCATTATGTGGTTAACAATTTTTAGGAGAAGAGCCACGAGTGACACGTGAAGGAGTCTCAAAGGCTTAGTGGCATAATCCACTGTCTCTTTTGAGTATTTGATTTATGATTTATAATGTGTTATATTACCAATATTAGGGCTTTTTATTTATTGACAATTATATGAATATATAATGTAATCATGCCTTTCAAACTATTTCTATTTTTGATACAATTTGGATGACTGTAATTTTAATATTTGATTTACTTTGCATTGGTTAAAATGGCATAATTATGAGGCCAAATAACTGGCTTGTGTTGAAAATTGACTAAATTGTTTATTTTACTTGTTGGGAGTATAAGAATGGACAAATGTGATTTAGCCTAATGGCATGTGGGAGGTAAAAATTTATCTGACATGTTATATTGTGTGAATTGAAGCCAATTATAAAATATTTTATATTGAAATTATTGATATAAAAAGTGTTGGGTGGCTGTAACCCAATTATGGTTGAGTTAAATTATTAAAAAAAAAATTTGGTGTGTTACACTATTACTATTCTATCATGACTTAAACGCCCAGAGAAGTGAAAAGGCAAGAGTCTCGGGTGGGATCATTTGAACGCATCTTGCGATCACTCCACATGAAATAAACAACGCAAAAAATCAACATGCATCGCTCAGCCCTATAAGTTTCCTAGTCAATAAGCGACATTCTATCACGAGTCCCACATCGGAGAGCCTCACAACTATTGTGGGGTTTATAAGTGTGAAGGGCTCTCCCATCCAACAGGCTAGTTTTTGGAATGGGTTCTCCCTTTGGGCTTGTGCTCATCATATTAGTGCTTTCATTGAAAGTCCGGTGTCACAGAAAGGGATACCCACAGAGTGTTCTGACCGGCAAAAGGCCGAGTAAAGTGCCGTGGAGTGAAGCCATCGGAGACGTCGGCTCTTGACGGGGTGGCATTGTCACGAGTCTCACATCGGGGAGCCTCACAAGTATTGTGGGGTTATAAGTGTGAAGGGTTCTCCCACCCAACAGGCTAATTTTTTGGAATGGGTTCTCCCTTTAAGCTTGTGCTCGTCACACACTCATCCAAAAGAAGAATCCCGACCATTGGCTAATTCGAAACGATACATTGAACATCATTTATTGAAATCAACCAGTTCACAAGCGCCGACTTACGAACAAAAAAGACATGAAAAGATAGCTGAGGATGTAACCTCAACTGGGGAAAAAAAAATAGGAATGATTCACGCCTCTCATTGACTGAAAACATCTTCATATGGATTAGTTCCTTATGAATCAACATTGGATCTTTTCTTAGTGGTGTAAGGATAATACTGCTTCCCCTTGTCAATTCTTGTAGTCTAACCTCCAATGTCAATAATTGAAGAAGTCACTGCCAATGCTGTTCCAGCAGAAATGGTGGTTGAGATGCTCTTACTTAGAACACATCATTTTTATTAAGACACATGAAAAATAAAACGTTGCTAATCCAGGGGCACAAATATAATCATGGTTCTGTAACCTTTATCAAATCCAGAATGTTACCCTCGCAGTGAAATGACTCGTTTGGTACCAGTTTATATAGACCGTGAAATCATGACTTAAGTAGGAAAGGCTTTGGTTAAAAAAAAAAGAAAAGAAAAGAAAGAGTAGGAAAGGTGATAAATCAAAAGCTGAAAGAGGCTAGTAAACATTGTCCTGGGAATTGGGCGATATAGAGAAATAGAAGTAGATTATCTCGTCTCCTTAGCGAATAGTGAAAACTCATTTGAATGAAAAAAATAGGGGAAGAATGAAGACATCACTGCATCATATAATCCAATAAGAAAGCAAAATGCAGAGTATAATGAAGTCAAAAGTCGTGAACATAATGGAGGGTTATTTTTAAATGAATAATGATTACACTTGCAGCACAAAATTTAACTTAGATCCACACCGAGTAGCAAAAATCATCTTCAGGTGGAAAGCAGCTCTAAATATACCAAATAAGAACAAAACTAAGTACTTAGGTTGGTCCAGACAAAGTATTTTATTTAAATAATTTTCAACTAAAAACTTGCAGCAAGACAAAGTAATAGATTACTGATGTCCATGACTACAGGAAATTCAATCATCGGTGAGCCTCTGAAACTAACATGGGCTATCAGTTCGAAATTCTGACAGCATAATTTCATATTCATATTCTAACAAGAGACGATCACACTTCCAATCAAGTACAATTAAAGAAAATCAGAAATGCAACTTATAGCTTCTCTTCTAGAAACAAAGCATCATAATACAAGAGATTAGATTGACGGAACAGACAACAGGTACGTCACTATCGATGTTAAACTTAAATAATATTAAACATTTTCAGTGATTTTTGAATAATATGATTTTCAAAAAAATTCAGAATGTATAAAAAAAAAATGTTGTTACAGCTGTCACTCGTGGCATGTATCAGAATATATGTACTATCAATCATCAACTATCCTAGCAAGCTTACACATTTGAACCAATAAACAAAGCATATTGGCTTGTATTCAAACAAAGATAAACGGAGAACAAAGCTGTAGTGTAATAGCGAGCACAATGTGTATTAACGTACAAAACACAGTTCATACGAGGAATATCATACCAAGTGGCGACTATGGTTCCCCAGATGGTACCAGTAACTAAACCAGTCATTGCACCTTTTGAAGTTTTCATTGTTGGTGTATCCTCATCCTCCAAGTACCTTCATTCTGCAGGGACCATGATTTTCCCTATTTAAGTTGCCAAAGGAATATATCAATCAAATATTCAAATCATAGTAACCCTCCAAAATGAATGCAATTGCAACGCATCTTTGATGTCCATCTATACCATTTTGAAACTTATCTTTGAAAGGGAAACACCTCCTAGGCATTCAGCTCCCCGTGCAGAAATAGTTACAATACTTTCCAAACATATATTAAGCCTTTATGTCTCATTGATCATGCATTTCTACAGATATTTGCATTTAGCTTGATTACATTTTGTAATGACTATCCATTAAAAAAAATTCTAACATCTCATGATAGAAATTGTGACGGTATTAACTGGTTGACATTGTCAAAAATATCCGAATGGCAGCAAAATTAATTAAGCATAGACACAAAACTGGAAGATAAAATTTAACAAGAGCCGAATCAAATTGAAGTACAAGTATCGAGACAAAATCATTATCACAAGTACGCATATAAACAAATTTCAAGTATTTAGATCAGCGGCCACTGATTAAACATCCACCAATTGTGCAAAGATTAGTATGAAAACCCTAAGAAAAGGCAAAAAAAAAAAAAAACTAGGGATGGATTTTTAGCAGGCGAATTCACCGAGCCTGCCATTTCTTTGGAGATTAGAAGTTGTTGAATAATCAGAATTCAAGAAGGAAGGGTAAGCAAGAGTACCTGTGAGAGATAAACGAGAGTATCAGTCGACTAGATTTAGAGCTTCTGGACTCCCGGACTCGCTTTGCAGCCTTACATTTGCTCTTTGCCTCCTCGCTTTGCTAAGCCTTGATGTTCATGCCACCTATAAGTCACATGTTTTTTAAAACAATTTTTTCATCACATCAAGATTTCGAGCCTAGACGGGAAGGGGCCATTACTTACAGTTGCAAAGCAATGACTTGGTAAGGGAAGCACAGGTAGGTGCTACACTTAGAATCATCTGAAACTCGCAGGGTTGTACAGGCTTCTGCGCGTTTGCTTCCTAGGAAATGGATGGTGTTTGCCACCTCCCTATTTACATCACATTTTCTCGTCTAAGACGTAACAATTTCTCGCATTCTCACATTCATTCCATCATGATAGTCTTCATCTTCATCTGAAATTGACCTACTCTGCCCATCCTTTTCTATTTTGTGACCTCGGGGTGATTTTTCAAAAGACAACTCGATATGCGAATTGCTAGACTGAGTTTTTTATGTAGTTTGCTGAAGTATGTTTGGTCGATCGAAAGAGGACACCAGCCGATTGGCGAAAATGACTGGCGGCAATAAGAGCTCACATTTCAAAGGAATTCTCAACACTTCCCAAGACATTGATACCTATTTTCAAATCCTAGACCCTGGAGGTTGGATTGAAGAAATTAATGTATAAATTAAATCCACTTGATTTGTTATGGATAGAGTTAAGTGGGTCTTTTATTGCTGGCACTTTTTAAAAAAAAAATTGAATGTCATAAAATATAAAACATTTGATAAAAATAAAATTTTATTAATGATATTTTAATATTATTTTTTATTATATTATTTATTTTAAATATCTTTATAAATATTAAATGAAATACTAAATCAAAGACATTTTAAAAAATTTATATTTTTGTTTTAAAAAAATAAAGTTATAAGTGATTTTGTTTTCTCTTAAAGTATTTTATAATTTGAGATGGAAAAATTATTTTTAAAGTGTTATCACCAATACAAAAGGAAAGTGGATGAAAAGTGACTGATTTTTTTTTAAAATAATTTTTGGTGGATAAACTAACTTCGTTGGATGGGATTAAAAACGACATAAATTCAGAGGCTGTTTAACAAGCTTGGTGTTTTCTATCAATTATCACATAATGGCAATACTATTTTCAAGGATTAATTATTTGGAGTTTGGCTAGACTTCCTGATATTAGTAATGTAACAGGTTTGAATAGCCCTATCATATCCTTGATTTCTGCTCTACGACCAGATATACATGTGCTAATAAGATAGTCTTCAAGTAACTGACACTTGCCAACGATGCCGTCAAAGTCAACACTGTATTCAGCCACATTGCTATGCTATTTAACTGTTGTTGCGCCTTCTTGTACACCTTGTGAACGTTCCACACCCTTTCTGCTTGCTTCTAAACGCACATATTGGGTAAGTTGTTTGGATATCTGGATGAGAGATTGTTGAATATCATCCAATGTTTTTGCACCCATATTGTCGAGGATGATTGGCTCTGGATAACACGTTTATATCAGTATAATTCTGATGTAGAGAGAGAATAGAGAGTAATAGGAGAGAAAGAGGAGAGAAGAACAGGGAGGGAGATTCAAAGGGTTAAGAGAAAGTGAGAGAGAAAGACAAAGAAGGGTGACTAAATAGTGCGAAACATTATCATTAGGAAATCGCAGATTCAATTTCAGAGGTATTCATCTATATAGGTTTCTCTCACCAACCCCCCCCCCCAGCTGTTTATTATTTAATCACTAGCTATCAGCAAATAACTAACAATAACGGCAACTAATATTTTAACATTACAATTATATAACAGCTTACAGGTACGAGTATGGGTCCTTAAGCAGTGGCTAAATCATTTCACTTTCCAGTACGATAAGATAACGAGTATCTCTTTTGCAGGGTCAGACTAGAACTTCTGGAGACCGCAAAATCACTTCCGAACACGCTTATCAGGATTTTGGAAGTTATGAACAGTGGCAACATGTCACAGGCAATTGAATGCTACTCCAATTTTGTTAGAGATGCTCACACTGGAAAAGATGCAGGGTAGACTAGTAAATCTTATGTGTCTTGTGGTTTCACGTTCAATACTGGTTGCTGCTTATACTTACCTGTATTCTTTTTTGACAACATACTTACCAGTGTTCTTTACAATGGCGTTATTGCAAGGACAAGTTTAGGGTTCCCATGGTTCATTTTATAAATTAATTCGAATAGCTTAATGTAATTGCAGAAATATTCAGGAACTGTTCTACAGAACTTGAAGAACATGTGCGAACTCGTTATTTTCAACCAGGCCAACTTTGTGTATGCTTTAGCAAATTCCATACATAATAGCCTGATTGTAAATATGAGTCCTCTCTTTTTCTTTGATTTGATGGAACTTTCTTTACCTATCGTCTTTTCTTTGCTCTTGATATTTAAAGCAGAAGGGACAGTCATCAACCCTACGCCTGTCTGATATTAGTGCTCAGAACATAAGAAACTTTGAAGTTATAATGTTATATTTGCAATTGACCTGGTTGTGTTAATGGTGACCAAACTTCCTTGTGTAGAACGACTTTGAGTCAAACATCCTATCATGTTTGGCAATGTGTATTGTCAATTTGCTTGGTGCGAAAACAATAATGTTAGTGCATAGATAATTCAAGTCCGATCTTTCTACTTGAAGTTATTAAGCACCAATTCTTAAAGGGGGGGGGGGGGGGGGAATAGATTTGTATGACCTCTATCACAGCTACCACTTGTGTCAAGCAAATATTTACATATAAAATGTTCATCTATGCTATTGCTTTCTCTTGATTTTTGAATTTTTATCCTCATCCCTCCTTAGACCCCACATGTTTTTGTAATGGAATATAGAAAGAGACTAGGTGCTATGTGAATTGCAGGATGCAGCTCTGGCTAAAACGAGGGAGCTGAAGAAATTGTGTGAGGGAACACGCTCATCCATGTTTGACGGAAGACTTGTCAATATAATAGGAGAGATCAACGCTCAGTTGACTAGTGGCTTTGGAGCATGAAGGTCGCTTGTTGGTCACAATGTCATCTTGAAAGAGGATTGATCGCTAAAGAAATAATGGCCTCGACAGCGAGAGCTCTTTTTTTCAATTTTTTTTAAAAGGTCATATTACGTGCTCATTTTTCTACAAAGACGATACCTTGACGATTGGTAAAGATACACGGTTGGTTGGTTGAAGGATTCAATTATCAACATAGACCAACCAAGGAAAAAAAAAAAGATTGAAGTATGAATGAATGAAAGGGGAAGAAGTGCCTCTTATGGTTTTAACTTTTATAAGCAGAAATTGGTGGACGTGGATGGTGTGATTTTCTTGTTTGTTGGTTATGAATATGAAGGTTAGATGTTGGCGAAGAGGCATGAGTTTGAGTTGTTTCAAAGTTGCGGACCGTAGCAGGCCTGTAAAAGCAAGATTCGCAGCAGTAATAAGCATCTTTGACCCAGACTAAGACCTATATTCACAGACCGAGAGTGGAATCCTTTCGTCGTACTCCTTCTGGGTCCTTGGGATTCCCTGCCTCCTTGACACGGCCTCTCTCCGTTCAGGCGTTCACGCTAAGATGGCCTTTAACCAGTAGGTGAGCGTGAGCCTTGATACCTAACAACTGCATAAGTCATTGCATGACGAATATATTATTGGTGAGGATGGTCAGTGTGATAAATGATAACTTGAATCTTGAATTACTAGAAGAGTGTTTAGATTAAATGAAGTGAATATCTCTTAAGAAAAATAATTTGTTTTAGGAAATTTGGCCAATTAAGCTTTCCAGCTAACTGGGGGAAGATCTGCTAAGCAAGAGGATACAAAGTCATTAAGAGAATGAATGTATAAAGGATGAGACCCTTGTTTTGATTGAAATAATGAAGATCCTTTATTGTGCTGGACAAGTCGTCGGGGAAAAGGACGGAACCCTGTTCAATGGGGGATGGTAGCAAAGGCATGGTGAGCAATTGGTGAGGTAGGAAATCGGCAGCACCAATTGAAGGGGACGACAAGGAGATGAGACGGGGAGCGGATGAGGCCGACGTCATTTGTGGGCCCATCCTAATTTTCTGAACATGCGTTTGTACTTTTCTATGTGCCACTTTTTCTGGTCTTCGGGATCACTTCATTACCCGTAAGTCCGTAACACACACGCTGACTGCATACCCTCCTCCACTTGACTAACCCTTCTTCTTCTGGCCTGATTTTCTAACCATTGGTTGATCTATAATCACTTTTGTTAGCTTTACAGTATTTTTGCCGATTTCGTTTTACAAATTTCTTTGCGTTAGTAAAAGAGACGTATTTCCAGGTGCGGAGAGAGAGAGAGGGAGAAACTTATATTTAAACAAAATACCACAATCGGACCAAGCAATAAAAAATTAGGTTTACTTAGTATATGAAATAAAATGAAATGAAAAAATAAATCAAATTATTTCTTGTAAACAATAAAAAATAAAAATACCTTCTACACAAATATCAGAGGTGGGGTTGGGGTTGAGCTCACTGGAGGGAGCTAGCCTTAAAGGACATCTTTGCTTCGCCCTCTGCCTCCATCCCCTTCATTAAATAAAGGTTTTAACTAATGTCCCTGATAAATTTACCTCTATTGACTTATAAATTTTTGAGAAAATTTTTATCCTGCTTCACTAAAAACGGAAGTGCAACCAACTCGAGATATCAAGTGGCTGTGCCTGAGAATCGAGCCTTGAGTTAGGAGCTCCATTTTAACGGATCTGATCTTGTCATTTTTAAAGGTTTAAGTTTTAATTAAAGATCTTAGATTGAAGAATCTATAGATGAGATTGTTTGCGATCGGAAGTAAGGGACGAGCCGAAAGATAACATTTTTGTTGAAGAAAGAATCCTTATACCATGGTTCGCCAAGAAAGAAAGCTACATGGGGGAATCTTGGGTTGCATGATAAGGAGAATTACAAGAATGCATGGCAATCCCGAAGCCAATTCACAGGAGGAAAAAAAAAAAAAAAAAAAAAGAACAAACAAATTGCATGTTAGAAGTTTAAGTTTCACTGAATTTGAGTTAACATGAGAAAGCTTACATGAGATGAAATTAAATTTATAATTAATATATAATAAAAATAACCATAAATTTGGGTTTTAAGATTTCAAATCAGAAGATTTTTCTTCGGTTGCCCCTTATAAAGGAAAGTCTTTATTCAAACCATGCTACCACGATGGATGGCTGTCAAGACCAAGATCACGTCATGTTAAACCCTCTGGTAACTTCACTCGCAACATCGGAATCTCTTTCCCTTTGTATTTTCTCTTGCAGAAGGATTCTTTTCTTTCTTTTTTTCATTACACAATATTCCAAAAAACTGGAAAGTATTATTGCAATACACACAAATTAATTTGAATTCCCGCCATGTGAGATCATAGTATATTTATTCAATGCGATGACTGTTGTGGTGCCAG